CAGGATTCAAAGGGCTCCAGGCACACTGCAGCTGCAAAGGGCATCCCAAGGGGAACACAAAACTGCCACAACATGCCTTCCTCCAGAGCTTTCCTTCTGGGAGGCTGGGAGGAGACTCAGCCAGGACAGGTGACCCAAACTGGCCACAGGAGTTCAGGGTGCTGATGCCCTTGCTCTTACCAGCAGAGCCCTCAGATCAGGATTGAGATGTGCTGATGCAGTTTGTGAGTGCTGAACAAACATTAGCCTCTTGAGCAGGTAAATGTGGTGCTTTATATTTATAGGCTGTGATAACATGTTTTTTTATTAACATAAAAACTATGGGGGTTTTATTTGTTTTATTTTAAATTGTAGGGCTAATCTACTCTGCTGTTATGTTAAGGGCAATTTTTAATGTGTTTATGAAATTTTTTTTTTATAAATAAGGCTTTTCATGTTCCTGTTCCCCTCCTTCCTGGGTAGTTAATGTTATTTCTTGCAAAAAATCCTGCAAGAGTTTTAGCCTTTCCATTAAAACTCCATAGTGTCTAACACCAGTGATCTCCCAGGCTGCCATATACCTGTCTAAGGGTGACCAGGGAGATCACTGATGTCAGACCCTATCGAGTTTTAAGGGAAATAGCTGGAGGCAGGACACTATCCATAAAGGAGCCTCAATTCTGGGAGTAGCCTCTTCTCATAGCATCTGATAATTACTGACTTAGTGATAATGACTAGACTCATTTGTTCTGCAGGCTTTTGTGGTCAATACAGGTAGTGATGTATATAGGGTGGCCTAAGGAGTGGCTTTGTTTGTTTGTTTGTGAGGCTTTAGTCAACAATGATTTATAGATTGCAGGTCAAGTTCTGTTGTTATTAATGGAATTGTAAAATATAACTGGGAATTTTACACTGGGGAAGCAAACTCAGAGTGCAGGAGAAAGGGATACAGGGAAACTTCTCTTTGGTTATATATTTTGCATAATTTTTGTTTGAGTGTTTGGGGGAATAAAGAAAGGCAGGTTTTTCAGGGTTTTTTTTCCCTGTTTGTGGTGTTTTTGCAAGTATAAATAAATCATTGAAGTGCAGATTCCAAACACTTTTGCACTAACCAGTTTTCCCAGAGGTGCCCCTTTTATCTGTTCCACTGGGAATAGAGCAGGTTGATGATCTCCATGACTACACTGTTGTCAGTATATCACAGCTGGTGGCTCAGTATCACATCACAGACTTCAAGCACACAAGTCTTTATTGTTGAACGTATAGAGCCATTGGAGTGGTGCATTCATCCTATTGAACTGATTTCAGTATCTTACTGGCTGAATAGCAAAACCTGAATATGCATTAATATGCTAACTAAGCTTTTTGGGAGAAGGAAATTAAGATAGATGTTGTAGGATTTCTTAGATATGGAAATGCATAAGATTTTCTGTTGTGCATTTCTATCTAAAGGTGGCATGCTTGTTTTGGCCAAGGGAGGGTTAATTTTCTCCACAGTGGCTGGTGTGGGGCTGTATTTTGGAGTTTTGCTGAACACGGTGATAATAGAGATGCTTCTATTGAGCAGAGCTTACAGAGAGCCAAGGCCTTTCCTGCTTTTCTTACTGCCCCACTGAGGAGGAGACTGGGGGTGCCTGGGGGGCTGGGGGGAGACACAGCCAGGACAGGTGACCCAAACTGACCACAGGGAGATTCCAGCCCACGTGCCATCATGCTCAGTGCATGCACTGTGGGGGAAGGAGGAGGAAGGGAGGACTTATGGACTGATGGAGTTTGTCTTCCCCAGTAAGCCATTACATGTGATGGGGCCCTGCTCTCCTGGAGATGGCTGAGCACCTGCCTGCCATTGCAAAGCAGGGAATTAAACCCGGTTTTGCTTTGCTTGTGTGTGCTCAGCTTTTGCTTTCCCTATTAAACTGTCTATATCTCAGTCCACAAGTTTTCTATCTTTTATCCTTCTGATTTTCTCCCAGATCCCACTGGTAGGAGAGTGAGCAAGTGGCCACCTGGGGCTTGGCTGCTGATTGGGCTTACACCATGACTGGCTACACCAGTTTTCAACCAGTTAACAGGATGAAAAGGCTTTTATTCTGGTAGCTTTGAAAGACAACAGATGTTGGGCTCATTCCCTGCCCTAGTTCAGTACTCCTTGATCTGTAATACCTTAACCTAAGCTCGCATGTGGACTGCCAAAGGGGGAATGGAATTACAGGTTTTTAATATGGTCAGTCTCTGTGTGACTAGTTGTCATTTGACTGTTATTTTACCCTTTTTGTATTATTTACTTTATATAATATTACAGTTGCAAATTGTTTGTAAAAGCATCTTATCTGCTGTGTGTCCATGGTATAGAGCGTCTTTAGGTGCAAATGTAAAAAATAAGCTTGTGATAGTAGCAATAACAGAGGGTTAGGTGGGCGTTCTGAGTTCTAGTGAACATTTAAAAAATGTGAGCAATTTCTTTGCAAAACAATTTGAAAAAAACAGTACATCAGAAGTACATCAGATTTGTCCAAATGAACACTTCAAAGTTAACCTGAACAGATGTGGGTTGAGTTTTTTTTTTTTTTTTTTTTTTAATCAGTTGAACAAGCAAGGTTTGGGGGAAAAAGATAATTATGAATAAAACATTTTTCAAAATCTCAATATGTGGTATGTTGGCAAAGTGAAAGCTTACATTTAGAGCACTTCTGAATTAGGAGGTTTGAATCAAAGGAGCTTTGACTTTAAGTTTTTCCCTGCAAAATAAAAACTGCTGGCATTTTGGGTCTCCTGTGGCTATTGACCTTCTGAAGAAATCATTATTATAGTTTTCAAAAAGTTCTATTTAATGGTTCTGAGGCTTTGGATTTTTAAGTAGAATTTTCTGAGAGTGACAGAGCTGCCTTGCAGGCAGTCTGTTGATGCTGAGAACAAAAGACCTCCAATTACTTGAAGACTGATGTTACTTAAATACAAATTAACACAATTAATTTAATATGGAGTTGTTACTTGGAATTATGAAAGACACAAGTTGCATCATTTGTTGTAGAGGCTGAGTCATATGTTGTAACTGCTGGCTGCTTTTGTGAACTGCATACTTGTGTTTCTGTAGAACATCTGTAAGTTGGGAGATCTGTGCCCTATTCCACTTTCTGTGCAAAACCAGCTGTGGTAATCTTGTGATAGCTTCACTTTTTTTTGGTGTTCTTAGATGAAGTTCACAGAATGTGTTTGGAGCCTTATTATACCCACTGTGTTCACTGTAAATGCACACTCATTTGTGCAAGTACGTGTGTACATAAAATTGTGAGATTAGCTTTTCCAAACTAGCACCTTCATACACCTATGATTCTCTCATGCCTGCAGAATTTACAAGGTCAAGGGAAGGAAACCAGCCAATGTACATCAGCCATGAAATTCTTTGGCAGTGGGCAGAGGACCTGTGGAAAATTCTTTTTCCAAAACTGAAAGAAATTAGGAACTTACTACAGATTTACTAATATTCAGTGTGTCACACTGTTTTGTACAGGAAGGCAAATTATCCTCTAAGAATGCAAGGGGGGGAAGAAAAGGGCAGTTAATGAGTGCAGTTGGTAAATTCCTGTTGATTTAAAGGCACAGGGAAGATAAGAAGAAATGAGGGATAAGCATACAACCTGAGCAGGAGCAAAGTGCAGGAGTTAATAATGATGACATTTAGCATCACAGCATTAAGAAATCAGCCCTGATTTGAGTTTATATAGACAGTCTTGTGTCTTGAGCTATCATTAGACTCTGCAACATGATGCTTTTCGATACAGAGATTTTATTTTCAACACTGAAAGCATAAATATAATTTATACAAGTATAAAATACAATTATATAATACATGTTTATTTGTATAAGCAAGAAAGAAATCAAAACTGATGAGCACGAAAAAAACCAAGCCAACAATCCACCCATTTGATTTTTGGTAGCAAGGTTCAGCGACACATTGCATGACACTATAAATAGGTGTACTGAGCATCTCAGTAATGATGTCTTTATTATTACTATTACAGGAACAGTGTGGTACTGACCATTTCAGTATTAACATAGCTTTTCTTTTTTTGCAGTATAATATTATGCAGAAGGTTTTTTGTTATTTGTAGTGATTTCTCTTACCATTTGTAGTGCTTTCTGTCTTACCATTGAATATCTTACCTGATACAAGAAATATGTTTAATTTTGAAGCCCAAGAGAGTACCAAAACAAATTAAGTTTTGAATTCCATGCCTACAGTTATTTTTTGTTGGGAATTTGCTCTAGAACCTTATACTGCAACACGTGTTCTGCCCCAACAAGTATTTTATCAAGTTGCATTTTGTTCTGTCAGAGCAGATCTTTATATGAATGAGATTCTCACAGGTTCCTTTCAGGTACCGTGCGTATATGTATCTATATACATATGTATGTAGATATTTGCAGGTACAGAAATATGTGTTTAGATATATTAAAAATACTGATTGACTACTTTATCATTTTAAGAGAAATTTATACTAAGTTTCAGGGTCTTTTCAGATCTTTTTGTGTTCCTTACAGTTTCTTCCTAAACAATAGTTCCTGTTAGATCAAAGGCATGTAGTGTGCATATAGTTGTGTGTTTTGTGTACTGATGACTGAGGTGACTGCACAGGGTGCACTATGGATGCCATTGCAGTGCTGAGGTCATTGCTCAGTTGTTTGGGACTATGGGTTTTTGTTTTTCCCCTGTTCCATTTAAATCATAGGAGTAACATCAGAGGTACTTCAAAAGGAAAGATGTAAGCCAGTGTAATCATCTTTGTAACTCCACTAACAGCTGTTCACAAACTTATGGTGCTTCTCTTGTTTGAATATTTCAAGCAGTTTTTTTTTTTTTTTCTTTAAAGGAGAAAGCCAAAAAGCCTTCCAAAATGCAGTGGCATTTAAGCAACCCTTTAGTCTAGTCCACTGCTGATGGAAGTGAACAGCAGTGTATTGAGAGATTGCAAAAAATAAGTGCTGAATTTGACTTGTGTTCCTGTTTGCCTTGTTCACAGATATTGATGAGTGTGCTGAAGGACGGCACTACTGTCGTGAGAACACCATGTGTGTAAATACACCAGGATCTTTCATGTGTGTCTGCAAAACTGGATATATTCGCATTGATGATTATTCGTGTACAGGTAAGAGCTGTGCCTTTCTGGAAGGAAACAACAGCATGGTGGTATTTAGGAGTATTGATATGATTCTTCTATAGCTAATCTTTTTTTGAGTCACAGAACACCTAAACGAAATGTTATACAGAATAAACACCAAAATCTGATACAGAAAAGCTAATGCATTTTACAGATTATGTGTAGGTCATATTGTTTGCCTGAAACTGTAAAGTAGGCTGGATTGTATTATGGGTCTGCACCGTTTTGGGTGCTGATTTAAAAAGGTGAAGGGAGGAGACAAGAGGAAAAGAAGTGAGTGAAAATAGTGCTGTTTTACTCAGTTTTCATTTCCATACCAGTACAGCTTCTCTTGGAGTATAGCAATTTTTCTGCAAACTTTGGATGGAGTTAAATTTGCTACATATTAAGAGTGGCTGTGCCCTCATTCTGGACTCTCCAGGCTCAGTTCTGCCAAGTTCAGAGGGCAGGAGTTCTGCTTGCCATGAAACACTGGACAACATGATCAGTCTTACCTCTGTATTTTCTCTTTTTGCTCTACTGCCAGTGGATGTGTTTGGTTCATAGTCATTTTTTGTCTTCTACTCTTCTTTTATTGCAAGGTAACTTAGGGTTATGGAATGAACACCGGACATCTAAAACAACCTTCTGTATCAGACCCAGGCTGACTCTGTGTTCCTGTACTTTTTTCTACAACATACATAAAGAAAATGTGAATCGATGATGCGATGCGTTTACTCAGTGAAAAAATTGTATCCCTATTTTGTGTGCACAGGGTAACAAATTAGCTTTTTCTATACAAGGCTACATTTTTTTTCAGGTATGCTTTATTGAAGTTTGCATTATCTAACAGAAATGGGCTATAGAATGTGAAGGCAGCACTGTGAAGTTCATTTCTGATTTTCTTCTGTCCATTGGGTCTTGGTTTTTAGCATCAATGATATGTCTTGGTACAGAAACAGCTTCTTCATGAACTGGCATGACTTCCTTGCCCAAACATGCACAACACTCAGGGACACGGGTTTCAAATCACATAGATGTGATTTTTGTGGATGCTGTCTTACCTGTACTTGTCATTCCTCTCATAGATTGCACTGTTTTACAGCAGTAAGCCCACTTCTTGAAGGCCCAAGTCATAAAGCCTGCTCTCAGCAGGTCCTTTCTGAAACAGCCAGTATGTTTCTGATCATTCTCTTACATTTTCCACACTCTCCACTGAGTAAAGAAATTGTTTCACTACCTCCTGAGTGTGAATATTGGGATTATTTTAGGACTGACTGTTTCTAAATCCATGTGATACTTTTTCTGCTTGGCTTCCCTTAACTTACTGTTGTGATTGAACTTTGCAAATGGTAAAGCATCACCAACTTTGCAGGGGCATTGGATGCCTATAAATATAATAAAGGTAGTTCTTGAGGGTCCTCACATTGCATTCCTTATACTTGATGAAACATACTGTTATGAAATACAGAGTAGTTAAGAGCTCTAGACAGTCAAACTTCTGTAAAAGGTATTGGAAATCCATTTTAGATCTCATACTCCAAACTCAATGTGGTTCCACATTTGTAAATCACAGTTTCCTGTGAAGTCAGCCTGATGGGTGACAAAATGAATTATTTTTTTGCCACCTTTGTAGATCAAGCTGGGAAAAGTCAATGCTATAGAAAGGGAAATAGATTAAAAAGTTTTGTAAGATTTCAAATCTTAAGACCTGCTAGGCCATCTGAACTGTAAGTCATGCTGTGTATGCATGTCAATGACTTTGTATGTATGAGCAATGCCACTTACTATTATTTGGGACCTAGAATTTTTCTAGAGTTAAATTTTACATATTGGATTTTGGATACAGGCAACCATTAGGATACAGTCCCTACTGGATGATAGAAGTTCACTGAATGGCAGCCTAACATCATAAAGCGTATATGTCACAAAATAACTGCATTATTTTTTCCAGTTCCACAACTATTATGTGAGCACCTCTGGTGGAGGCACTGGTTAATTAATTAATATGTATTCAGGACTATGTTGGTGGGATTGTATAATATACACTTCTGTCCAAATCTCTCAGTACTCATGTACAGAGTCCAGTGCACTTTGAATTTTGTCAATGCCTGCAATAAATGTATTAGTTATTCAACCCTCTTTTTTCCCTTTGCGGAGTTTAAAGTTCTTAGCAAGTTTCTGTTTGCCTTCTTGGCAATTCTAGGTTTAACTTGCCAGCTGAAATATCAAGGAAACTGAGGAGGAGGCTGTTTTTGAATCCAGTTCAGGAATAACAAGAGCAGGAGAAACAAGCAACAATTGACCCTTTGTGTTACTAAGTGTTAAAATTTTTAAAATATATTTCAGGTCACAGTTTTTTGTAATGCTGTGCAATTGAATCCAGTTATGGAATTGTAGTTGTGCATAAGATAGCTGACACTGTAAACTGGAGAGGAAGGCTCTGGTAACACATCCTTTGGAATATTGCTAAGGAGGAAAAAAACCATCCTGTACCTTGGCATTAATATGTCATTGTTTTCACAGGATAGTGAAGATGTTGAAAAATTATATGGGGGACCTTGATTAGGCAGTTTATGATGTAAGTGATGTCCACAACTTGGTGGCAGACCTTATTTGTTCCTTCCTATGAATGTACATATAATTTAGCAGTCATTGATCAAAATAAAAAAGAGCTATAAAATCATTGACATTGAAGAGTTTTTTTCTGTACAATACATTTGAAAAGAAATCTGTGCTATCTATCTCTGTCAGAGTCGAGCACACAAAAGAGTGATTTACACAGCCTATAGCTGCTTCCAAAACACCTCCAGTTTCTTTTGTCCTGGCATGTTTATTCCAAGTTTTACAATAGATCTGAATTACATTTTTATTTTCACAGCAAAGGATGTAATGAAGATATCAGTTTCAGGTATTATTTGTATTCATAGCAGAACCAAGATTCTCAGGGTTAGATTGAGTTAGTCACAACTGTGTTTACACAGAAATCTGTTGTTCATGACTGATTTTTATGTTCAGAAATCAATCATAGCTATGAGAAGGAGAAATGACTTCTAAGTCGCACCCATATGCCAAATGGGTGTACAAACTGCAAATTAAAGTCATAAAAATATGCCCTGGGCTACCATGCTTTGGTGTCCTACAATGATATTGTCTCATTCCCTTTCCACTTTGCTTTCCAGAACCTTGAATGTAATGGTGTTGTGCCAGGGGAAGGAAGGTAGATAATGGTATGAGTCTCTGCTGGGGTAATATGTGCACTAGTATGCTGCTGCACTGTCACTGTTAGCTGGGATCAGATCAGAATGCTTTAATTATTTCCTGAAATAATAATATTTGCATCTTTACTTTGCATGGGATTACAGAAATGCATGTACTGCTTTTTTTGGCTTTAAAAAAAAGTTTTACTTCTGGAAACAAGGAAGAACCCAGTGTCACCTCGAGTCTTTCAGGCTGCTTTGTAATTTGCAGCTGGTAGCATTGCTCTGAGCAGCATAGTGGATGTCTTTTCCATCACAATTTATTATGGGAGAGGTTAGGAAATGAGAGATGAGAGCTCTCTTTTTCACACTTGGCTCTAAACAATGAAGAGTTCATACCAGACACAGTTAGTGGTCAATCATGTTTAGTCTCAGCAATTGTCTTTAGTTTTCTCCATTGGGACCACTCACCTAACTGAGTAACCCAGCAAGAATTGAACAGAAGATGCAAGACCCTGTGAGTGCCTCCTCTGGAGACTGTATTAAGGCAAAAGAAGGTACATTCCCTGATCTGGAGAAGCCATGGATTTTCTGAGCCCCAGATAACTTTTAAGGCTCTGTTTATGAGCAAAATCATAGGCCCCCTTTTATTTATTTTTGTGCTTTCCATTTGGCATGAAAGGGGAAGTGATGGAAGTTACTCTGATGGAAGTGTTGGTGGTATGCTCTGCCTCTCCTGGGGTTTGGAGTCACTGAGAGGATGTGGGTGAGGTAATGGAGCTGATTCCCCCTCCCAGAGACCTCCTCCCCAGGGGCTGTCTCATGTTTCACCTTTGGTGGTACTGGAGGGGCAGGTGTGGGTGCTTCATTATATTCAGTTCTCCCTGTGCATGTGGTCTGGGCAAGATGATAAATGACCGACTGGAAGAAAGGCATATGAAGTGTTAGTATAGAAGCCAGAATTTTTGAATTAATGTTTGCACATGCTGTTTTCTGAGGTTAATGAAATTATGTATTACATATTTCTGGTAGTTTTTTTCTGTTTGTGTTCTATGGTTTGTTAGGGTTTGGTTTTGGGGTGTTTTTGAGGGAAATGTACCTAGACACCAGTGAGATTTTGCAATTGTGCTGTACTTTGGCAGAAAATACATGTGAATTCTTAACAGATTAATTATTAAAAGCACACCAGGCATGTTGCAAATTGTGGACTACTTCTTCCAAGCATGCTCTGGCCACATTGGCAATGATGTCCATCTGATCTGTGTGGGACTACTGCCACATGTGGAGCTGGATGCTCACAGAAGTGTTTTAAGTGTCTGCAGACCATATAACATTTTTTCATAACCACTTTTGTCAATCCATTTCAGATTATTTTGTCTTTCCTTTTAACTTTAACTTTAGCCAAGTCATGCTGGTTTTTTTGCCAGAAGATTTGGCAAACCAAATGGAGATTTTAAGTCTGTGAGGCCATTATTGTGCATTATAGCCTGGTACCATCATGTTTGTGCTCCTGTGTTTGTTTTCTGACATTTAAAGAAAATGGAGAAGGATTTTTGTATAACATCTCATCACTATGAGAATGAATATTGGGTACATTTGGTTTTCTGTTTTCCTCAGAGTCAAAATAGAAGAGATTAAGTAGTTTGTTAGAATCATGGAATCATAGAATGGTTTGGGTTGGAAGGGACTTTTAAAACTTTTAAAAGTTCCACCTTTCTGCCATGGGAAGGGACAGTTTCCCACTAGATCAGGTTGCTCAAAGCCCACAGCTTTGGTCTTTTTGACTTGTTCATATGGAAAAACCTACTC